AGTTCTTGCGTGAACATTATAGGCCTTTATATACCCAAGTCAATTTATTATTCCTTCCTTTTTGTCTTAGTGTTTAAAATATTTATTTTGAAACGAATTAATTAATTAATTAATTAAACAAACAGACTTACTGGGTGAACAGGGTAGGCTATGACAGCAGTCATATCATATCCTGCCATGCCCAGCTGATGCAAAGAATAGAATTCATATCTACACAGAAGAAAGCACTGTCTAGACTCTGCCCCGGTATGACTTGTGTCGAGCTATTCATTAGCCTGTTTGTTTGATGAAAAAAGACTAAATGTAGTTGCAATAAATGCGTTAAGAATCCATAACTGCAGCAGTGGAGGACTATTATTCTGCTGTGTGATACTGCAGAAGAACTGATGATGGCACGGTTTGATCTGAATTAATTAATTAATTAATTAAACAAACAGACTTACTGGGTGAACAGGGTAGGCTATGACAGCAGTCATATCATATCCTGCCATGCCCAGCTGATGCAAAGAATAGAATTCATATCTACACAGAAGAAAGCACTGTCTAGACTCTGCCCCGGTATGACTTGTGTCGAGCTATTCATTAGCCTGTTTGTTTGATGAAAAAAGATAGTTGCAATAAATGTGTTAAGAATCCATACAACTGCAGCAGCAGAGGACTATTATTCTGCTGCGTGATACTGTGGAAGAACTGATGACGGCACGGTTTGATCTTCGGCTGACCAATCAGCAGAAAGGGGCATTTAATTACCGCCCATGTGTAGAAATCAAATATTCAAGCTGTTTATTAATTTTTCTACCCCTGAACGAAAAATGAAAATTTAAGCTGAATTCTCGTTTTTCATTTTTTGGAAAAAACGAAAAAGGAGCCGTTTTCTCATTTTTCTACTTTCAATATTAAATAAAAAAACGAATGATCGAATGATACACGGATTCAACACCGACTCGAATAGCCGAATTCGTTTGAGTCTAATCACTGAAACACCAATTTATGAACGAATTCGAATCCTTCAAGTCAAAGAATCGTTCTAGGTGAATAGTTCATAAACTAACCTGGCACATTACAATCAGCGTGGTTTGCTTAACGTAAGTATAATGCAAAACTAAAGGCTTATTTCGTTAGGTTTGTTCAGTTAAATCACAGTTTAAAGAAGGTAAAAACAGCTGTAACGCACGTGACACATTTCGGATTTATTTCCTCTCTCCCACTTACTCTGATATGCAACAATATATATTTTTTTTCATTATGGGTTTGATCATTTTCAAAGCAACATCCCTTATAACTATCCATGGAATTTTTTTTTTTCTTACACAAAAGGTTTTTGCTGACACCACTGAAAACTAATCCAAAAGGAAATAAATATTAGTGCAAGTTTGATTAGTTATGGACATGAGGTCTGCTACAAGCCTTGTCTTCTGTGGATGAGGGAGTTCAAAAATGTATTAAATTCACATGATATGTCTCTTTATTAGGCAAGTCACCACGATATGGAATGGCACAGTATCATACTATCCTATGGGCTCAAACAAATGAAAGAAATAATCACAATGGGCTATATTTACAAGTAAAAAACTTAAAATTAAATAGTATAGTTGTTGGGGAAATTACATTAATTAGAAAAGCAAAAAATTTACAAACTTTTTTTTTTGTTCTCTTCCATTTTTAAAAGGTGAGGTGTTAGTGTTTTTGCCATAGCTCAATAGTTTTCACTTTTTGTTCATGCCAGGTCACGTTTTGATGAGTCCCTCAAGGAAGTCCTTCTCAACCATTTCCTCAATGTTCTGTCTGGCCCGGCTCCAGAAGACTTTCTGGCTCTCCAGCTTGCCATCCTTGCCAGGGAATGGGCCGTCTCTTGGAGTAGGGCTGTGATATGGTCCTGAGCGGCTGTTGCCTTTACTGCTGAAGACATGACTAAGAAGGTTGAAGAAAGGGAGGAGCTGCTCCATGCTGCGGATCACATAAAGGGTGAGCAGGAGCTGTCCAGGCTCCCAGGATAGAGTGCGTGTGGAGCATTCTTCCTCTGGATTTTTCTAGAGTTAATGGAGGTATTCCCATAAGAGTAGTGAACATCCTAGGCTTAAGAGCATTAGCAAATCTACTGAATAATCTATAAATGTTATAGGCCCTATATGCCAATGATGTGGAATGAATCTCTATTAAAATAATAAGGCAACAATAGGACAAAATTGAATAGATTTCCATAGTTTAAGGCCCTGTCCACACGAACGTGGTTATTTTTAAAACCGCAGCTTTTTCTACGCGGTTTGGCCGTTCATCCACACGCAAACGCAGCAGCAGGTTACTGAAACCGAACATTTTTGAAAACGCCTGCCAGGGTGAAGATTTTCAAAAACTCCGGTTGCAGTGTTATCTGTGTAGTGCAGTGTAATCTCCACCTACTGGAAACTTTTTGAGGCTTCTGATTGGCCAACATGGCTTTACGGTTGAGATTACATCGCCACCTGTTGGTTTGGCATGCTCTTGACAGTGCTTCATAGCATGTGTTTGCGTTTTCATGTGGACGGAGATTTTTTTTAAAACGGGAGAAGGAAAAACTCAGTTTATAAAAATGCCCGGGTACGTGTGGACATGGCCTAAGGCTGATGATACACGGGGCAACTTTTTAAGCAATGTTGCCAGGCAACTTTGGGCAATACTGCCGCCAATGGGCAACCAGATGAGACACATGGCCCACGACCGATCTAAAGTATCCAGATAGACATTTGTTATCCATTCTCAATGTGAAAGTGCCCAAGCAACATTGCTTAAAAAAAGTTGCCCGGCAAAATTTCCTCATGTATTATCAGCCTAAGTGTATATCGTGGTGACTGTTACATGGTTGTATTACCTTGGCTCTTTTTCTCAGCAGTTTGGCCAGTCTGACAACATAGGGCTTGAACTCTCTCTGATGGGTCCCCTGTCTGCGGACCTCCAGACCAGAGTCATCCGAGGCTTCAGGGACGAAAGCCCAGCGATACCTGTGGTATAGAGTAATATTATTTCCTTCACATTAAATATGCTCAATATTTGTGATGAATTTTATCCATGAAGAAGTACCGAGAGTGCTGGAACAGTCTAAACTGAGGTTTTTGAAAAAAACAGTCTTGAGAATATACCTGAACAGACTGAACAGCACTCTTACAAAAGAAACAGCTATTGCATTACTTTTAAATGAATTTCAGAGACTCAGGGTGGTTTTGTTAATGACCTTTTAACAAGAAACATTGCTGCCTTGTACTAAAATACATTTTAAGCATTCAGTGTGTAAGGGCACCCACATCTGGAACTGAGGCAGACTCTCAGAGGGCAAGGCGAGGGCCAGGTCCAGCAGCTTGCAGGCAGACAGGTAGAGGTTAAGCCAGCGCTGGCTATTGTAGGAGGTAGAGAAGCCGTTGCCCCCTGAGTATGTTGTCTCAAGCCCTGCAACCGAGGGACCCGAGGTCCTGAAGAGAAGCCAGAAACCACATTCATCAGTATTCCACACACAGAATCACCCATAATGTCTTACATGGAACATGATTCTACTTCTAAAATAAAAACGAAAAGATAAAACAGCTGAAATAATGAGGAATGCTACAGATTTTAATAATGGATACCTGGTGATGTCCTCATCTGCAGTGAGTTCCTGTTCCATAAGTAAGAAAACCTGAACCTGAAGGAAGAAACAAACAAACAAACAAGCCTATTGAACTTTGCCAAAAGAATGAGACAAAAAAGTCCACCAGATAACTATTCCTCTTTAGATTGTCCTTGGGAACTTCTGTTATTTCAGCATCAGAGCTTACAGCTTACTTGTGAGATGTTGCTTGTGATTATATGTAATGTGTAAATGACAAGGTGTGTCATATCCTCACCAGCTCAGTGATCATAGTGGGCCAGAGTGAGGTCAGGTGCTGAGGGGACATGCGCAGTAGCAGCACTCTGAAGAAGAGGAAGACC